AGTCTTTCGAGCATGATGCTTAAATCCTTCAGGTCATCCGTAGGCATTTAGAGTAGGATGATAAGTCCTTTGGGCCATCCATAAGACCTTCGGGTAGGATGTTTTCAAATGAATTTAAAAATGAAAAATGATGTTTTAAGAAGATGGAATTTTTGAAAACAAAGAATGCGATTTTCAAAATTTCACGATTTGTAAGTCCTTCGGGCCATCAGTAAGTCTTTCGAGCATGATGCTTAAATCCTTCGGGTCATCTGTAAGTCTTTAGAGCAAGATGATAAGTCCTTCGGACCATCCATAAGACCTTTGGGTAGGATGTTTTCACATTAATTTGAAAATGAAAAATGATGTTTTAAGAATATGAAATTTTTGAAAACGAAGAATGTGATTTTCAAAATTTCATAATTTATAAGTCCTTCGGGCCATCAGTAAGTCTTTCGAGCATGATGTTTAAATCCTTCGGGTCATCTGTAAGTCTTTAGAGCAAGATGATAAGTCCTTCGGGCCATCCATAAGACCTTCGGGTAGGATGTTTTCACATTAATTTGAAAATGAAAAATGATGTTTTAAGAAGATGAAATTTTTTAAAACGAAGAAAGTGATTTTCAAAATTTCATAATTTATAAGTCCTTCGGGCCATCAGTAAGTCTTTCGAGCATGATGCTTAAATCCTTCGGGTCATCTGTAAGCCTTTAGAGCAAGATGATAAGTCCTTCGAGCCATCCATAAAACCTTCGGGTATGATGTTATCACAAGAATTTGAAAATGAAAAAAATGATGTTTTAAGAAGATGAAATGTTTGAAAACAAAGAATGCGATTTTCAAAATTTCACGATTTGTAAGTCCTTCGGGCCATCAGTAAGTCTTTCGAGCATAATGCTTAAATCCTTCGGGTCATCCGTAAGCCTTTAGAGCAGGATGATAAGTCCTTCGGGCCATCCATAAGACCTTCGGGTAGGATGTTTTCACAAGAATTTGAAAATGAAAAAAATGATGTTTTAAGAAGATGAAATTTTTTAAAACAAAGAATGCGAGTTTCAAAATTTCACGATTTGTAAGTCCTTCGGGTCATCAGTAAATCTTTCGAGCATGGTGCTTAAATCCTTCGGGTCATCCGTAAGCCTTTAGAGTAGGATGATAAGTCCTTCGGGCTATCCATAAGACCTTCGGGCAGGATGTTTTTCACCAGGATAATAAGGCATCCGAGCCATTTTTAGCCTTTTTCAAAATAATGTTGGAGCAAACCATAAGATCATTTGATGTGGGAGGAAATCGAAGATTCTCGAGTACGAAGAAGCAGAACAATCCATTAAAAGGGCTTGTGCACGTGAGATGGAAGCGAAGGTCAAGAAGAAGACTGAAGAAAGGGAAATGACGTTGCAATTAAATAAAATTAGGTCATTATTTTTGTCTTTGCCACGTTCTTGTGTTCACAACAACGAGCAAAGAGGGGTAGCTATAATACCCTAATTTTGTCCGGGCCATTTGAATTCATTTGAAGATGATCGGAAATTTATTTGGAGATTTTGTGCTCAATAACGAACTAATTTAAATGGTAAATCGTGGAAGCTTGCATTTGGAAATTTTAGGTGCTTAATTGGATCGTAACCATATTCGTTTCACTTTGGAATTCAAGATATAAATTAAAGACCAAATTCAAATTCAAATCCAGATTAAATGCCTAAAGCCCAATTACAAACCAATTTAATTACAAGACCCGACCTGGTTCAGCATACCCGGCGCCCATGATGTACTACTCCCCAAGCTTCTTCCATGCCTCCACCAACAGCCCACGTGAAGATACCTCTTTTGTTACCCGTGCTTCACCGTGCTCATGCACCCTGCTCCACTACAGCAGACCATGCCCGTGAAGACCGAGACATGGCTCTGCCACCCATGCTCTGCAGCATAAAAAACAAGGACCACACAATTCAAGACGAAGCAATTAACGAGGAGCACGAACAGAGAAGGGGGCAGTAAAAACATAAAAAGAAATCATTTTTAAAAGGCCAAAGGGGGAAGATATACGGGGGGGCTCTCGGTCAAAAATGACACCAGGGGAAACACAAAAAGACAGTAACCAGGGGAGGGGCACTGGGGTTCAAGGACCAGAAACGAACAACAGGGGAAACAGAGGGGACGAAAAACAGAAAAGAAAACAAATTGTAATAGGGGTTCTTCCCCAATTTTCAAGGAATAGAAGACATTTTGTTTTCATTTTTTGTATTCTAAAGGCAATATCATTCGAAATTTAGAAGGAAATCAGAGACTCCTCAAGGGTATTTTCATTCCTATTCTGTCTTTTTTCTTTTTTTCCTTTCTGTTCGTGTGTATGTATATGTTTTTTTTAAGAGCGTTTACAAGCGATAAGAAAAAAAATAGAGAGAAGAGCCTAGTGTTTTACCTGGCGGCCGGTCCCTTCGAGGTGTAGATTGGTCCACCGGAGGCCCTTTCGGTCTTGTATGTTGGGGTCGAAGTTTGTTCATGGTTTAGGGGTCGATCTAGTGAGATTTTGCCTCGAGTTTGTGGTCTAGAGGGAGAACTGAGAAGTTGGGTTTGGTTTCGGGCCTCATCGGCGTGGAAGAGTTAGGCGGTTGGCGGCCAGTGAGGAACCTTGGCCTTTGGAGGCTCTCGGCGAGGCGAAGAAGAAGAAGAGTTGAGAGCGAGGGGGGAGTTGCGGCTGGGGATGACACAAATGAATTAGGGATATTTTTGCCTTAGAAATTAAATATATGGTATTGTTAAACCGGTGTCGTATAAATTCTGTGTCTGAGAGGCTTAATCATGTAAAGACTCCCTTTTATTTTCGAGTTCTTATGTTTTGGTCCTGGTTTCGTGGTTCTGCAAGTTTTTAATATGGTTCTTAGATTTTACGCGCATTTCATTTTGGTCCTTAAATTGGTGTTTTTGCATTTCTGATTTTGTCTCCATGTTTTATCCTTATTTTAATTTCATCCTAACTGGTAATGTATTTAGTTTCTGTTTGTTTATGCTTTCGACTTGTAATTTTCACATATTTCGTTTTAGTCCTTATTTTGAACGTTTCTGTGTTTTTAATTTAGTTGCTTTATTTTAAAGTGCGTTTAATTTTAGTCCTGATTTATTGTTATGTTTTATTTTCGAACGTAGCTTGTAATTTTGGTTATTTCGCAATTTAGTCACGTTGTATGCTTGTTAATTTAAGGGGTAATTTCCTTTTTTTATGTCTATTTTCATCTTTCTATAATTTTGGCCCCTTCATGTCATCTTATGTTGAGTTTAAATTATTAATGGTAGATTTAGTCTTGTACTATTTCATCTTAATGTATACATATTTTATTTGTAGGCCTGTATGTATAGTGTTAGGTTAGGTGGCATTTGTAACTGGATAAATATTATCTTAAAATGTTAATTAATTTAGGATGACAGCGTTTGTTGCATGTAAATGAATATGGTAGACTTAATAAATGTTAGAAAAATTATTAATTTCCTGAAAAATTTGTAATCCTAGGCCCTTTTTGCATTTAGTCATATTGAATAATTAATTTCATAATGTGATAGGTTTTTTGGTGTTTACCATTGTTTATTGGTATGTTCGTTTAGACAGGTTTTTTTTCCTTTAATATCATTTTTGTATGATTTGCATGATAGCCTCACGTGTATAACTTGACATTATTACATAATTTGATTAAGGATAATATTCTTTTAATTTAAAATGGTTTTAAGTAGGTTGTCTTAACTGATTAGATATCCGCTTTAAACAATTTTAAAATAAAAGCATATCCCATCAGTAACTCCTAAGAAATTGATTTATCATTTTAAAATTTGGGAATGAGAGAAAAAGAAATATTCGACTATTTAAATTTATCGAGAAAAGATAGTTAGAACTTATCTAAGATCTGGTCTCGATATTTGTAAATAATCGAATATTCTTTATCTTTCTAAAAGCTTGGTAATTTTAATTAAATCAATTTTGGTGTTTTGAAATATTGTAAAGTTTGCATGACGTTGTTTTGTCGGGGATCATAAACCAAATTAAAACCGAATTTATAAATTTCATTGCAAAGATATTAATTAATCGATGAGATACCGATTTAGGGCGCTGTGGGGGTGCTAATCCTTCCCCACGCGTAATCGACTCCCGAACCCATTTTTGGTAATGCAGACCTAAATTTGTTATTTTAATTAAAATTAATTTTTTATTTTAAAATGAAAACATTTTTGGGTGTCCAATCACACCCTAATCAAAGATTGGTGGCAACTCTTCGAACTCGTATTTTTATCGTGAATAAATTTTCAAATTTTCGAAACGAGAGGTTTTATAAAATCACATTGTTTTTAATTAAAATTCAATCGTAAAAATCAATCAATTAAAAATGACTTGGTTTTCCAAATCTCGCTTACACTTAAAAATCGTTTCGACATCCATTTCATTAGATTATCTGGTTGTTGTTGGAATCAAATAACTTTAACCTTCATAATAGTTGATTTTAGTTATATCCTGACTTAAATTATACGAGAGCCAAACATGGTGGTCGCTTAAAGCTTCTTCTATGCACGTATAAAAATCTGGAGTAATTGAAGAAGAACAATCATGGCGATTTTAATGGGCCCTGAGAGAATTATCACGCTTTTTGGAGTACTTACACAGGATCATTATTTTTCAGAGGAACGTGCAAAATTTGTATGAATTGGACACCATATATCTTATCAAAGCGTACGTTCAAACTTTTATTGCCGCTCCCCCCACCTCCCTCTATGCGACATTACCATTCAAATTCAAGACTCAAAAAAAAATATATCAAGATGATTTCCTGGATTTTACACTCTATGCTTGTTGTTTCCCACATTGCCATCAACATCACATTACAAGACTACCTCGACGACAGGCACAAGTCTACAAAAATAAACATGTCGTTTCACCTGTTTCTTGTATATAAAATATGGAACAAGCAATTTCAAGCACGTTCTATATTTTTCCAACAGGAAAAGGACTTCATACTGGTTGGTTTTTTATGGTGTCTCTAACACTTGAAAAGAGTTGAGTCATTTGAAGAGTCTGCATAGTCCAATTCCCAGTTTGGCCTTCCGAGGGTGAATTCTAGGTTAACTAACATGTCTGTATCTAATCTTCCCTTCGGTCTATCCGACACTTGAAGCTCTGCCCTGTCTGCTACGTCCACCTATGGTAAAAACTAAAATGAATCATTCGATTGTTGTCAATACACAATGATTGTGAAATCAACTTTCAAAACGTGGGGTGTTTTCTTTAGTGTTGCAATCGTACCTTGGCATCATTTAACTTAAATGCCAAGCCATTTCCATGGTTTGATTTGCTCAAATTATTCGTCTCCATTGAGGATAGCCGTGAAACGCTGCAGTCAAGTGCAGGAAGGGGCGCAGAATTTTAGGCAAGGGAGAGACAAATTATAGAGAAAACAAATAATGCAGCTTTTATGATCAAAACAAATTAAGAAAGGAATCACCTTTGGGTCCTCTGCAGTGTCGTTTCTGATGATAGTCTTTCAATCAAATCAACTATCTCTGTCCTTTGGATCAGTCCCATGTCTGTTCAAAGAGATTATGCAACAGCTGTTACGTTACATTTACGATAAATGATAGGATTATTGTAAACTAATTACAATTACCTGATCCCTTGCCAGCGCTTTTCACTGTTCTATACATCTGCATGAACACGGAACAATAATAAGAAAAAACAAGTCCAAATCCCACTACTGTTGAATTATTAAAAAAATACAAAACTAGATACACCATAAACGTAAGAAACAACTATGAAAGAAATATCGTAAAATAATAACAATTAGTTATACTTAAGTTGAAAGAAATGCAGATTGCCCACAGTTTTCATACCTGCAAGTGACTCTTCACGTGAGCTAGGGTTAGATCCTTGACATTCATCAACTCTAAGACAGACTTTGGTGTTGCTCCTGTCACCATAATTGCCAATACAAAGGTATGTAAAAACTTGTTATGTTTTTGTCCCAAGAAGATATATTATCTTAGGTTGTTCAGTATTATTACTTTCATGGCCTCCGAGAAGCTGGACTGCATGAATAAAGTGAGCATGGAGAGTGGTGGTCCATCTCATTCTTGGAACTCTGATGCTTCTCTTCAATACTCCATTGATCACCCTTGCATTTCTCTTGAAATCACGGCCATTGATTTGAGGTTGATATCGATGCTGCTGCTGATTATGACCCAAAGCTGTTGTCTCGAACCCTAAGCTCAAAGTTTGCCCTGGATTCGTGTACCCATTCTCATGGCTGAGGTTGATTCCACTGCAACTTGAAGAATCAGTCGTGGAGCTTCTATCACTACTAATCGATTTTGTTGATAACCCATCGTAGGCCAATCCTTGATCCGTACAATCCGAAACGGATGGTGGGCTAATCTGCAGGGATAAATCAGGCAAAGGTGTTGTCCTCATGATAGCTTTTGAACTTTTGAAATGAAGAAAAGGTGAAGGAGTTAATAGAAAGGAAGCAAGGGTTTGTGTGCTGCGAACTGTTATTATATCATGATTCGCATGGGTGTTGCGGGAGAAAGAGCGAATGAGTGGCTTTCTAGCAGAATGAAAATATCAAAAAAGGTTAAACCAAAATCAAAGTTGCAGGATGAGAGAAAGTAGGTAACTGATTTTTTTTGTTTGTGAAGGAAAACGTTAGGAAAAAGGGCAACTTGTGTCTGTAAGATCGATGGAGTTTTAATACCAAAGGTTGGGGACTCGGTCCTTTTACTCTTGCTTCTTTATAGTTGTCGTATTAGGAAGCTTGGAGTCCAGCTGTGGGACTCTTTCTCTAGCCTTTGATCAACTTCGGCAAAGGAAAATATTTTTTAATTAATAAATAGTATTCGATTTATTGATTGACTAATTCATATCAGATTTAGTAGAGACTTATTATGGAACGATCTTTCTAATCTAGCTTGTTCTATTCAAAAAAAGTTAGGTTTTGAACTCCTAATCGTATTTAAGGAATTTAGTATCTCATCCATTAAATCAACAGATTGTTGGTGGAAAATATTTTACTTAATAGTATGACTTAATTACTTTTATTTAAGGATATATAATATATTATTTTAATGATAATTTTGTTTATTTATTATTTTATATAATCATTAAATAAAATAAAATAAAAAATTATAATTAAATTATTTTATAAAATTTGTTGAATTTAGTTTAATGTTTTAAAAGGAAGGAAAATTGTATACTTATTTTTAGGGACATGAAATTAGGTAATCGTTCAGCTTTCAGACCGAATCACGTTAGATCAGGTCAAATCAGATATGAGTTATATCAGGTCAATTTGATGGTTCTACTCGGATCAAATCGGCCGGGTCAACCCGAGTTTGGGTCATTTCAGGTTGATTTTAAATCAAATTTAATTCAAGTTCGAGTCGGTTTAATTTAAGGTCAGATCAATATTAGTTCAGTTCAAAACAGTTTGGGTTTGAATCAATTAAATATCAAGTTCTATATCAAGTTAATCAATTACAAACTGAAATTTAAATAAATTAAACAACATGCCGTGATCAAATTGAAACAATTTTAAAATGTAAATCTTAATATAAAAATAAACTAAATTGCATTCATTTAAAAAGTTGGTGAATTAAAGTTTATAAAGTTTGGAGATTATGAATATGGGTGGTGACATGTGTCACAATTTGATTGGATAATTAAATTTATTAAGTTGAATTAAAATTAGGACCAAAATTAGAGAACTTATAAGTTATAAGGACTAAATATATAATTATATCAATTTTATTAATTGTCATGTCAATACTTTCGTCAAATGTTAACGGCAGGTGGTTGTATTGAACCCAATTAATTAGTTAAGTGGTCATATCGAAGACATTTTGAAAATGGTGGTCATTTCGACGCCAACCCTATAGTTAGGTAGTCATTCAAGTAGTTTACCCTATAATTTAGAGGGTTTGAATTGAAATTTATGATGAGATTTATAGGGATTGGAGTAAATTACAAAAAATTAGAAATAATTATTTGTCAATTTCGAATAAAAATATAATTTTAGGACTAAATTAAACAAACATGAAATTTAAATAAATTAAACAACACACATGGATCAAATTGAAACAACTGTAAAATGTAAAGTTGGAATTGATATCAAAATGGACTAATTGCATTCATTTGAAAAGTTTGTGAACATAAGTTAATGGGGTTTGGAGATTATGATAAAATTTATAGAATTTGAAATGAAGTTTATGATGTTATTTATAGGGGTTGGAGTAAATTACAAAAAATAGAAATAATTATGTGTTAATTTCGGATAAAAATATAATCTTAAGGACTAAATTGAATAAACATGAAATTACAAACTAAAATTTAAATAAATTAAACAACACAAAAATCAAATTGAAACAATTGTAAAATGTAAAGCTGAAATTAATATATAAATAGACTAAATTGCATTCATTTAAAAAGTTGGTGAACAAAAAGTTTATGGGGTTTGGAGATTATGATATAATTTATAGGCTTTGAAATGAAGTTTATGATGTGATTTTTAGGGTTTGGAGTAAATTAAAAGAATAGATGTCACACCCCAAATTAAGGCCTAAATTTTTCTTAAATTTTTTTTCTAAGGACTAAATTGAAATTTTAATTAAATTAAGGGACCATAGTGAAATTTTAATTAAATTTGCATACAAATTGATAAAGAAACTAAAATTGGAGGACCTATAATATAATTATACAATTTTTACAAATGTGGGTTTAAAAGCCCAAAAATCAGAAACTTTCCATTTCTGGAAAGTTTAAGCCTTTATGCTCTCTCTCTCTTCAAACTTTCCTCTTTTAGAAGGAAATCTTTAATCGATGTTTCGTCGTCGACTGTTGTTCCATTTTTGACACCTCTTATACCATCATGTTCCTTGCGTCATCTCGAGTCCACCGGTGTCAATCTTGTCTCTGTTGTCCCCCGCATGTGAGGGGTGAGGAAAATCAAGTTTACGACGTTATGAAATCGAGCTATCTATCGTTCACTGCTGTGAACCGAGCTTGGTAAGTGTCTCAAAACCCCTTAAAAAGTATATATGAATTTTTTTCGACCCCTAAAGGCCATGCACACGCCCCTTTTGCGCGTGAGGAAGGTCCACTGCTTGGTGGGTTTCTAGAAACTGCCTGACCCGACCTACCTGCCCGATCCAACCATCCTATCTGACCTGATCTTACCCGACCTGGTCCAACTCGAACTGAACCGTTCATCCGTTGACTGTTAACCGACCATTGACCGCCGTTGACTTTACTGTTCTATGACCTAAAAGCCCCAAATCGAGCCCATTAATCCGAAAATGCTTAATATATTTTTAGCATTTTTTCTTATTTATTTGAGATTTGATTTTGGAATTAATTCGAGTATATATTTTTATGAAGATATTCGTGCTTCCCCCGACCGAGGGTTGATTAGATTCGGTGCTTTATCGTCTGTCAGATCTGCTCGATCTGGGTTCTTCGAGAGTTACTCGTTGGTTTATTTAAATTATTTAAATAGAGGTTATTATTATTCATGTTAGGATCCCGATATAGATTTTCTGATTCGTAAGATCTAGCGCTGCCGCTGATCGTTATCAACAAACTCGATAGTAGGATTCCTTATCAGACTACTCAGACTGGTACATGTGTGTTTCCTGATGGTGTTACATTACTGTTTTAAATTATTTATCTGAACCATTTTAGATTTTTGATGATACTAAATATTTTTATGATGCGATACATGTTTTTCTAAATATTGTTTATCTAATATCAAATTTATTGTATATTTCTGATATGATCTCTGGTTACTGTATTTCTGTATATGATTTCTGAGTATGGAATATTTTCATGTTTTAATGGATTAAACTATTATTTTCACTCTAATACATAATTTTTATTACTGTCATTGCGGGTATTTTTGGAGAAAGTATATCAGGCCTAGTCTATGACTTGTAAGACCTTACCGTAGGCTCCTATGCTTTGTGCACATGATAAGTCTTTACCTCAAGTCTTATGCTATATATGTATAAGGTTCTTACCGAGTGTACAGGTGGGTGTATGGTTATGGGGAACATACACATTCTGGTGTTTGGATGAGGGTATTGTTCATATTTTTAAAAGATGCTTGATGAATAGATTTTTATTGAAATATTTTATCTGTATGTTTTTATACACTGTAAGGAGCACACTAGGCTTTTTAACCCATTTTGTAAATTTTAACCTTTTCAGATAGTAACATACCATAGAATAACATACTTGGCATCAGGAGGACCGACTACTCATATTTTTGTACCACTATATATCTCTATATGCCTTTTGTTATACTTTGGTGACACATGTTTTCTCTACTTTCTTGGTATATCTGTATTACTGATATTTTATTATGTATATGTTTTATACGGTTTTCCTATTTATGTATATATATATATGCGTGTTTATTGTATGAATCTTTATTATGGCTAATTTCATATTATACTGTTATAACTTCTTAATACGATATGTAACCGCCTAGATTTGGTCATAACATTCACGCCAGGTCTAGGGGGTTACTCTTAGTGGTATCATAGCCTTTGGTTTTAAACACTCGGACTGTGGATGAATCCTAAAATATGGATTTTCAAGATATTTTAGTTATTTTTAAAAAATCGTGTCACCTTATTTTATGAGTTTTAAAATATAATCGAGATTTCTGATGTTAGTCTAACTTAGGTTCAAATTCTTTCTGTAGAGCCTTATAGATTTATCCGATGAGTACTGCTAGAGGTTGTAGGCCAGCCGTGAGTCTAACTTAGGTTTAAATTCTTCTTGTAGAGCCTTGTAGATTTATCCGATGAGTGATGTGAGAGACCTTCCCCTTACTGAGGACGAGGACACTGATTTGGATGAGGATGCTATTAATAGAGATGTCTTTCGTATGTTCTGGAGAGCTGCTAGAGTCCCTGGTAATATGTATGAGGTCGAGATTTTAAAGTCTTTGGTAGCTGCTAGAGTATTTCATTCAAGGGCATTATTGGTGGACCTCCGACTAACGTTGAGTATTGGTTGGAGGATACAAAGAGGATTATGGATGAGATGAATCTGAGGCCTAAACAGAAGTTAATGAGGCCCTAGTTATGATGAAGAAAATGAGTTTTAGATGGTGAGAATCGATTTCTGGTAGTATTTCGGGTAATCGGTTGATTGGGTATCTTTTCAAGGCACGTTTTCAGAGTCACTACATCGAAGAGTGATGCCTGCGTGAGCAACGCTAGTAGTTTCAGAATTTGGAGTAGGGTGATATGTCTGTTATGGATTATGAGATTGAATTTATCAGATTTAGCCGCTATGATTCTTGATTAGTTACACTGAGTTGGATCAGTGCTCGAGATTCGATAATGGACTCATGTATGAGATTAAGAGTCAAGTTGCTAACCATCGGGAGAGGAACTTTTATGCCTTGG